TGTATTTGAAGTCGGGAAAGTGTTTGGGAGAAGTCCGGAGAGGCCAAAGGGCTGGATAAGGTCTGGAGAAATCTAGATAAGTCTGGATAAAGTCTGGATAAAGTCTTGCTAAGTCTGGAAAAGTCTGGATAAGTTTGGATAAAGTCTGGGAAAGAGCCAGAAAATTTCTAGAAACGTCTGGAAAAGGCTCTATTAGGTCTGAAGAAATCTAGACAAGTCTGGATAAAGTCTGGAAAAATCTAGCTAAGCCTAGAAAAATCTGGATAAAGTCTGGAAAAGCCTGGAAATTTCTGGAAACGTCTGGAAAAGGCTTAATAAGGTCTAGAGACATTCAGACAAGTTTGGATAAAGTCTGGAAAAGAGCCAGAAAATTTCTGGAAACGTCTGGAAAAGGCTCTATTAGGTCTGGAGAAATCTAGACAAGTCTGGATAAAGTCTGGAAAAATCTAGCCAAGTCTAGAAAAGTCTGGATAAAGTCTGGAAAAGCCTGGAAATTTCTGGTATCGTCTGGAAAAGGCTTGATAAGGTCTGGAGAAATTCAGACAAGTCTGGATAAAGTCTGGAAAAGTGTATTTGAAGTCGGGAAAGTGTTTGGGAGAAGTCCGGAGAGGTCAGAAAAGGGCTGGATAAGGTCTGGAGAAATCTAGACAAGTCTGGATAAAGTCTAGCTAAATCTGGAAAAGTCTGGATAAGTTTGGATACAGTCTGGAAAAGCCAGAAAATTTCTGGAAACGTCTGGAAAAGGCTCTATTAGGTCTGGAGAAATCTAGACAAGTCCGGATAAAGTCTGGAAAAATCCAGCCAAGTCTAGAAAAGTCTGGATAAAGTCTGGGAAAGTCTGGAAATGTCTGGAAACCTCTGGAAAAGGCTTGATAAGGTCTGGAGAAATTTTGACAAGTCTGCATAAAGTCTAGCTAAGTCTGGAAAAATCTGGATAAAGTCTGGAAATTTCTGGAAACGTCTGGAAAACGCATGGAAATTTCTGGATTGGGTCGGAAAAATTCTGGAAAATCTGGAAAGGGTTGAATTTTAGCGGATCTCAAAGCTCACAATAATCACAAGCATTAGCGTTGAAGTTTGCTTCGGCATTTTCAATGTTCTCCTCGGTTGCATCTTTGTGAAGGACTGTGAATTTGTTACTTATGTGACAATTCTCTGACAATATGCCTATTAGCTGTGCTATTAGATATTGCTCTGTAGATGGTTGTTTTTCAAAGCAAGGAAGTGGTTTAATATTTTTTCTAGGTCCAATAGAAGAATCTAGGTATGTATAGGGTTTTCCAATAGTAACGCTCGATGTTTGACAATAGCCCATGAAAAACTCGATAGTCACACAGGTGCTATCTTTGGCAGCCGTATTCAATTAGTCTCTGCATTTTATTATGGAGCGCTACACGATTGAGCAACGCGTCGGAATTGTTAAAAATTATTATCATTATCAAAACCAATGTTCTATTCGGAAAACGTTTCGTGCACTCCGTGCAATTTATGATGTCAACGATCGTCCTTCAGAATCCACAATTGGCCGACCTAACGTCACTGGATTTTTTTCTCTAGGCATTCTAAAATCCAAAGTCTATGTTGACAAATCTCGAACGGTTGCCGCCTTAAAGGCCAATATTAAGCACTTATTGCTGAAATTGAGCCATTTTTATGTGATAACGAACACTTAATGATTCTAACGACAATCTAAAATTGTCGGAGAAATGTATTGATAATTCGGATATTGTTGAAAACATCTATGAGAAGTAAAGTCCGTCGATTTTAATCTAATACTCGAAAGGAATGTGAGCTGGTGGCACCCTACATTTGAACGCCAATGGTCACCTAACGTCACCCCTGGTTTTCGCTTCACCCCCTCGCTCCTCATACGAAAAGTCGACGAACAATACTAAAAGAAGGAAGATTCAGGGACTTGACCAAATCTGCAATACTTTCTGCAAGAAATGTTGATGTCGAAGAAATAAACGAATAAGTTGTCGAACTGTTGGACGTCAAGACCGAAAAACTCTACACCAGTATAGATAGTGTCAAGAACTGTGATAATAGTGATCTAAATGATGCTATTCTTCCAAAATATTTAAATTCGCTTAATCCGCCGAATTCTCGCTCCATGAATTACGATTGAAAACGAATTCTATTGTATGCTTATTAGAAATCTAAGCATCAGTGCAGGCCTTTGCAATGGTACAAGGCCTTTAGTTCTGGAACTTGGGGATAATCTGTTACGCTGTGAGATATTGACTGTAGATAAACAGGGAGAAATAGTGTTCATAAATCGAATAACACTCTACTGCGAAAACGTCTACCCCTTTACGTTCAAACAAAGACAATTTTAAAATAAAATTAGCCTTTGCAATGAATGACGATTAACAAATCTCAAGGACAAACATTTGATAGGATAGTAATTGATCTCCAGAAAGGATGTATTAGTCACGGACAACTTTATGTGGCGCTTTTCAGAGTTCGTTCGTGGGACTCATTGAAAGTTTATTCAGGGAAACAAAGAGGCAATAGTGTTGTCAAAAACCATGTTTTTAAAGAATTGTTTTTTTTGATAATTTAATTTTGAAATTTCGCAGTCATAGGTGATTTCAGAAGATCTTTACAACTTATTTACAAGATATTTGAAGATCACAAGACAAAAACCTGAACACGATAAACATAAATGATTGAAAATAACGAAGAACGGCATGAAGACTTAGCACTCTTTAAACTTTGGATTCTTATGAGTTCCATAAAACAGAATAAGATGCACTGGACATATGCACACCGTATATTAAAAAAATAAGATCGATTTAAAGTCATTACGATGTACCGCAAAAGTAATAATTCACCAACTACTTTGATCACATTTAAAATTTATGTCTACCACGTAGGTACAAACAAAAAATGTAAGTTGAATAATTGAGCAATTGAATTTAAAATCTTTAAAAAAAAAAAATTTTTCGATTGTTTGCAGTAAAATGTTGATCGAGTAGACTTCAATAACTGGCCTAATACAAAAAAAGGAACTTCATGAAAATGTAAAAAAAAATTTAAGACTCGATATCTCGTATTATACCACAGCACATAAATAGTTAATAACTCGGTTTATAATAACACCTTGATTATGGTTATGATTATTCTGTTTTAATTAAACCACTTCGAAAAATGTATACCTACGAGTTCCATAAAACAGAATGAGATAAGTAGACATATGCACACCGTACATTCAAGAAATGTGATTGATTTAAAATCATTATGATATACCATACAAAAATAATTAGTCACCAACTCCATCCATCGCATTTGAAATTTCTTCACTAAAATAACATCTATACAACTTATCTCACTCTAACATTTAATGTATAATTCGGAATTATTCCCCTCCTATTTAATTCCGTGTTAACTAACTCGGAATTAATCCCCTCCTATTTAATTCCGTATTAACTAACTCGGAATCAATTTCCTCTTAGTTAATTTCGTGTTAAGTAACAGGGAATTAATCTGCTCTTATTTAATTCCGTGATAATCAACTCAGAATTAAATAAGACGGAATTAAATAAGAGGGGATTAATTCCCAGTTACCTAACACGAAATAAAATAAGAGCAGATTAATTCCCTGTTACTTAACACGAAATTAACTAAGAGGAAATTGAGTCCGAGTTAGTTAATACGGAATTAAATAGGAGGGGATTAATTCCGAGTTAGTTAACACGGAATTAATTGTGCATCACTACCAGCAAATAAAAATTTAATAAATGTTCCTTCTACGCCTTCGTAACATTTAAATCAAAAATTATACTGTTTTTTGTACAACACCTAATAAATATTTTCCATTTTATAATTATTCTGATGGACTTGATTTAAAAAAAAAGCGCGCGAAGCGCGCTCATGACCTAGTTTACAGTAAAATTTAAATTTAGCAAATAAACATAAACCACAGAAACAGAAATTAGTCTCTTGTACTTGGTGATGTCTACATCACCAAGGATGTAGATATGTATATACCAATAAATTTCAAGTTAAATATACACCCAGCTATTATTGTATTATGATTCTAACATATGAAAAATTCCTTATTTTTGACTAATTTTTTTATTTTAATTTTTTTACATTATTTACCTACATAGGTAGGCCTAGTAAGGTCAGATCTGAAGGGGCTTAAGGCCTAGGCTCAAAATCCCAAATATGTAAATATATTTTTTGCATATATCTACATGTCCAAGGCTTATTTTGTATTATAAAAATCAGTGTTTCATACATGACAGGCTTATTTTCTATTATAAAAATCAGCGTTCCATATATAGATTCTCACTGAAACAAAAGTTTTATAAGAAATTAAAAGATAAATAGTTTGACAAAACATTTTTATTGACTGCAACTTATTGGTGTACAAGTTTATTGAAGTAACAGCTTCCGATTTCCTGTTTTAATAAATTCTTCCAGAACATCATCTTAAATCAGGGATAATTTCCACCAAGATCCAAGATTAGTCAAATACTGAGTAAATTTTTTTGCAGAAAAAAAAAATGAAATTAGGTGTGTACCTAATAGTATGTTCAATTTGTTTAATTGTCTGTTTTGGAATTTGTGTATGTGAGTGTGTGTGGCAAAGATCTTTTTTTTTTTAGGGGGTTAAATCGGTTTTTTGGGGGGTTAGCTCCCCTAATTTCGCATATGATTATTTATTAATATATAAAGTAGTACCTTCTGTAGTACTGTAACTCAAACTTCCCTTATTTATTTAAATTACTTACATATAAAATGTATTAAAATATTACTGGTTTTTCAAGAAATTATTATCAATATTGTTTTTTTTTTAGTGTATAAAGCTGCAGTAGCAGAAACTGCAAAGCCCTAGCACACTAAAAGAATTCAATGGTGTAGGACTTTAGGTAGAATAAATAACATGTAGCTTTTCCACAGAATGGGATTATTTTGTTCTCAATAAAATTGTATGTGATTTAGGGCTGCCCTTCCAAATAATATAGGAATAATAAAGTGAATAAACTTACGTCTTTTTCTGCATGTAATCAACTTCCAAGACAATTGATGATAAATAATCATCAGCAGTGTAAGGCTCGACCCCAATTTCTTGATTCAAAGACAATACAGCCCATTTTCTTTGAGGTAAACTGAACCCCACATGGGATCTGGGAACTCCGGGATGGGATTTAATTGAGAAAACAAAAGTTTGACCACCTCCAGTGTTTATTTGAATATGCCTGAATAAAATGGGAAATTAGTTTAATGAAAGTGTATATTTGGAAAGCAACAACTTACTTGACCCCTGGAAAATCATTGTCATTTGTTATAGCACAATTTGATAGGGATAGATCGTCGGTTGGACACTTGGTAACTTTGAAGACAGCCTAAGAAATAATTAAAGCTCATTTAAGTTCAAATAAATAATTTTTGTCTGGAAAGTTTCGTGGGTTTTAGGACTAGACCAAAAGAAAAAAAACTAGGTATCTAGTTTTCGGCAATGTCTCAAGCCTCAGACTGTTGTCTCTGGAGTCCCTACAGTTAAGAGAAAGGCACTTTCATTCATGTTTTAGTCCTTTGACCCACGAAACTCTCCAGACCCAAAGAAGAACAGGAAATGAATATAGGTAATCAAAACATTTTTGTTGATTTATAACTTACCATGATTTACTGGTAAATTTCCCTCGAAACACGAAACTATCCTCTGCTGCAGTGCGGATTCAAGAAAACACAAAATCAATACACACCAGCACACCACACAGAAGACAGTGTAGACAGCAAAGGTCGACAGATTCACCGACACCACTTCCAACCAATCCAACCTGCAAAACACTACAAATTACAAAAATGACATTGTATTGAACAGCTGATTTTGAAAGTTCTATTCATATTTATTTCTCACTACGCCAATGACTTAGAGTTACTACTTGTAAAGTAAAATACGAGATGGAGCTGAAATCGTTTTAATTTAAATTTTAAATTCAGGGAACGGTTCCACCTTGCGGTATTATAGATTATATTCAACATAAAACTCTTTTGAAAAACCTTTATACTCTAGAAGTGTCTTTATTCTATATTGAAGATTCAGGTACATTTGGAGTAAAGGTACTGCTTAGAACTGTATTGTACCGATACTTAAATTTGGCAATCTATTTTAAGTACTAGGTACTACTACTTAAAAATGTACCTACGTATTGAAAATTTGAAAGTACTTAAGTATTTAAACTATTTTAAGTACTTACTTATTATTCGGTATTTTACTTATAAAACATGTACCTACTGCAAGTATTTTCTAGAGGAATTATTATGCTCATATAAGGGAGAATATCTAAAGGAACTGATAATGTGTTGCTTGCTATACAGGTAAAATTGCACTAAACCACTCAATTTTGTATGCAGTTATGTATAACCTAACTCCAAACACACTTTCCAGATTCAAGAACCCAGTCAGCAGAACGAACAACTGCCAGCTGAGCGAGCCCATAGGCCTATGAAAGCCGACTAGGTAATTGCAACCAAGACAGTCACTTATGAGAAGATCAATTGGCTCATCGGCACATTTGATGAACCTTGTAAATCTCCGGGAGCAGATTATGGGGTTTTCCCGGCTTTGTTACAGGTTGCAGCATGGATTGAAACTGTTAGTTCCAAGCCTCTGTAGAGAGTATACCGATTGTGCGTTGCGTGGAGTTACGTAACATATGGGCATGGAGGACGGCAAACGCGGTCTTTATTTCAAAACCCGGACGCGCAAACTACACAGAAGCCAAGGGATATCGTCCAATCAGCCTAACCTACATATTTCTTTCTGAAAACGTTGGAAAAAATAATTGATAGGCACATAAGAGACGAAGAAAACCCTCCACGAACATCAACATGCCTATCAAGTAGGCAAGTCGTGCGAAACAGCACTGCACAGTCTCATCTCCAGGGCTAGAGAGATCCATTCATTTCAAACAGATCGATCTGTGTGCACGCCTCCTTCTCTGCGATGGCCAAAGCGGCTGAAAGACATGAAATTGGCGACACGACTTGTACGTGGATACAAAACATGCTCCAAGCCGACAGATTCGCACCACTCTATACGGAGAGACCTTGGAGGTATATCTGCAACTCGAGGTTGTCCACAGCGGGGACAACTAGACTAGCACCTCTCCTATGGAATTTGGTGGTTGATGACTTACTGCTAGCGTCTCAACTCGGAGGGGTTCCACACGCAAGGGTATGCTGACGATGTGGTCATAGTCATGCAGTAAGCGCCGGAAAATAGCGATTCTACCATCCACCAAAAAGCGATTAGCGGGAGCATAACAACCTAAAGATTTTTGGTGAAAGTATAAAAACTGTTAATGAAGTGAAACATCTGGACCCAATCCTAGACGCTTAATTGACATGGAATCAGCAAATCGAGAGGATTATAAACAAAGCAAAGATATGAGGTGCCTCATGAGATGCAAGTACTTGTCTAACAAAACCTCGGGCCTGCAACCAAAGATGGTGTATACTGCTTAACGACCGTCTACAGAGAATGGGGCTGCGGCTAGCTTGTGCATCCCAGGAACCATGGGTACCTAGTAGTAGTACTCCCAGGGCAGCAATGGTACTTAATTATGGAGCTAGACCCTCAGTATGAAAACGACACGGGTCTGAAAGCCACGGCCGAGCAAATACGGACACACAATAGTGACAGATGTCATAGACAGCGAACTATTGGAAATGAGATTGGATCACATGACGCCGACCTAGAACTTTGAAAGACAGTATAGAATCGAGTGCGTTTACAGACGGGTTAAACATCAAAGGCTGAAAAACGGCAAATGGAGTGGGGGCAGGGATATATGGAGGTCGACCTGAGATGAATGTCAGCATATCATTGGGGTATGAAAGCACTAGGTATCAAGCAGAAGTCTTCGCTATACATGCGTGCATCCAACAGAGCATTACGCGGGGGTGTAAAAACCAAAATGTAGCTATTTTCACGGATAGCCAAGCAGACTAAAAGTGCTGGATTCCTATCGCATTCCTGCTCGAATGACGATGGAGTGCCGTACTGACCTGAAGGATCTTGCTAAGAAAAACAAGGTTCGACTTCTGTCCCTGGCCACTCAGGGATAGAGGACAACGAAAAAGCAGATGGGCTGGCGAAAGCTGGAGCTACAACGCTAATTATAGGCACCAGTAGGCCCAGTGGTAAAGTTAACACTGGATAAATGATCGAAAAGACAACATTTGGCCCGTTGGAAATACAACAACTGGACAAAATCACGCAAGGACTGTAATAGGAAACCCTTCAATGAAATCAACGACTGACGTGCTACGACCTACGCAAATACTTATGAGACAAGTGAGACGGCTATCGACAGGACACTGTACACTGTCATTTGAGGAAGCATCCAGCACAGGATGGGAATATTCAATGCAAGGACTGAATGCAGACTATGTGGAGAGCAAGACGGAACGGAACAGCTTCTCACATCATACATGACTTTTTCTTTGGTTTCCTGCAAGGCGATCTAAGATTCAAGAAAGAGAAGCAAATGAAACACAACTTTTAGTAAAATAATTTTATTAAGTACAGATATAGGTACCTATCAATTTATTTTCAATATAAATTAATAAATAAAAAAAAAGTACACATACAACAAATGTCTTTCGAAATACTAACACCTACTCTAAAAAAAACCTTTTTTTTTTAAATTTAACCAAAAATAAATCTTAAACCTAATACCCAAATCATACACACTCATTCAGATTACCCACACATTGGAAATAATAGGCTATAGAATCTACAACCACTTCAAGGCAAGATTTTATCACACAAATAATAAATTAAAGTCGGATTACATTATTTAGCCCTTTCTGAACTTAAGTACTAATATGCTAATCGTGAGAAAAGCGAATATCCAGGTGGTTATCGCGATAAATCCATAGTATACTACTGGAACAGTGATACCCCAGCCTCTAGCGATTATACATCTAGAAAAAAGAAGCAAAAACAGATATAATGAAACAATTCATCTCTTGAGACACCTCTATCTTCTTACCTTAAACTTTCTGTAGCCTGAGTAAGTGGCAAAAAATCTGAAGCCCACTTCAGATAAGGACTCATAGCTTCAATGGGCCAAATAATACCGCACAGCATTACAATTGGTAAGAAACTACCAAGGGCCATGTAGGTAGCTGACCGTTCATTTTCACAAATGCAAGCAACAACAAAACCTAGTAACATATTCAAATAAGGGGTTTTCTTAAACATTTTTTCATTAGCTTACCGAAACACATCCCACATAATCCAGACAATATAGTCAGAGTGAATAGCAAAAACCAACTACCATTTTGTGACAGCTGAAACACTGGAAAAGCAAATATCAATACCATTGCGGTTTGGCCAACCATGACAATAAATTGGGTCGCGACCTGCGAAAACAGCATTTCTGTACCGGTGATTCCATTTACCAAGGATCTTTCCAGGATCCCTTCGTTTCTTTCCATTAACATTGCGCCAGAAGTTAATGCAACAGCCATAAAGAATATAATGCTACAAGGATAAATTAAATTTAAATTATATGATTTGTTAAGGTAAGCAAACTTAAAAATTTGCTTTTTATGAATCATAAATTCTCACCATATCATTCTGTCAGAGCTTTATGAGCAGAAAATAATATAGCTAAGGTTACTTAGGATGTTTGAATATAATGCATTTGTGATAAGTAATTGTCATTCATAATAATGAAGATGTCTTATTTTAGTGTAAGTATTCATTATAGATCATAAACTCACGTTAAAATTACACCAGGTGCAGCAAAATCCGTAAAATCAGGTTCCCCATAGCCGTAGATAGGGGTTTCGAACTGATCAAATAAGAGAATAAATTTTAAGTGAATAAATTACACCACCAAAAACTTACCCTAACAGGTCTTCCAAATACCTTTGGATCAATACCACATTGCGTTAAGAAGCTTTTGGCAAAGTTTTCAATTCCGAACAGTAAATCCCTGGTGAGGAAGGTTGCAATGTTCTCATCTAAAACACGCAAGTCATTATAATTGTGTTTGAAATGTTAAAAATCAATCTTACTCGATTTATCCGCAAATACATCTATAACGCTACCAGCTACGTCCCAAGCTTCAGTATCTTTTCCATTTTCAATTCTTGATCTAAAGGAATCTGAGAAGTTATGTGGGACCACGACCATAGCCCACGATTTTCCTTGCTCTACAGTTTTTCGAGCTTCATCTTCGGTTGCATAGTAATTCTACAAAAAAAGAATGTAGAGTACATAGTATACCTATAGATTTAGAAATTTGCATACCAAACTAATCGAATAATTATGTATTACAAAATGCAGATAGTTACAACTTAGATAAGTCGCATTACAGCCATGCTTATATTCGCAATGTTCCATAGGATAGTTAATTTCTTTATTCACAACTGATACTTCAATATTTTTCGGGTCGTGGCCAATAGACAGACAGAAAAGAATAGTTTGCCCAACAGGTAGGCCTAAAAAATAGAAAATTTTATGTTTTCCACACAAGTGCTTTCATTAAAGTCTTGTACCTATTATAAAACACATAACAGGAATGTTCCTCCACATCCACAAGAAATTCTTCCATATCAAAGCATGCATATGTGACCATTTCATAATTTTCAAATAATCAGTAAATTTCACTTCTGGCTCATCTTCTGGTGGTAGTTCAAGAGGTATGGTTTCTACAGATGCGTCTGGGGCGATTGATACCCGTCCTGTAAAAAAAAGTTAGTTTATTTTTCAATCAATCAATCATCCCATTTATTGATCAGCAACTACAAAATGTTTAGATACACACGTCAAAAATAAAAATACAAACTAAGGAGGCAGTTGATTGACTTGACCAATTATTTTTAAAAGGGAGCTACGAGTGTGCTATTGATTTGCGGAAAAAGACGTTGGGAAAACGTTATGGATGCTAACTGCCGGACACAGTCCCTGTCCGACGATTCAACAAGCCAAATCATCCACCGAATTAGTCTCATTGAAAGATCGTCCAATTGTTGCATTTTATAATATTAAAACAAGTATCAATCTTACTTGCTGTTCTGCTCGACATCGAAATATTATCACCAAACTCTCCAGATATTTCGCCAACTTCATCGTCCAAAACCGCTGCCTCGTTGACAGCTCCAGCAGGAATTGGAATGCTATCGGTGACTCCTTGTAGAATACTTGAACGTCTTCTTTTGCCCATGTTCTGGATCACGCTGAGTTTTAGGAAAACATCCTCCAAGCTGTCTGCTCCGAATTGCGTTATCAGTTGTTCGGGTGATTCTTCTGCTAGGAAGTAGCCGCCTCTCATCAAACCAATCTGAAAAAGTTAATTCAAATTTGAAACTACTTTATTTTTAAAAATTGATGATTGAAATAAATCACCTAATACCTATAGGAAATTCCATGGAAATATTTGATAGTTAATAAATTAAATTTACAAAATATTGATTATTGTTTTGACCTCAACTTATTTAAATTTTTTAATTTGTTCTACTTTGTCAATTTCATAAGATTATCTTTTTTTCTGACGTTCCAAACGGTTTATTAGCATAAATAATTTAAATAGCAGACATTTTGACAAGCCTAATATATGTTTATTGAAAATTTGATTATTTCATAGTACTCAATATTCCATGAATAAACATACGGACCACTCGAAAAGTATCAAATATAATACTGAATTCTTAAAATATTTTGTCGAGTGTGTTCACTGTTTGTTGTCTTCCTTGAACTTATTGAATTTTGTATTACATAAACAAATGAGAAATGTTGCAGCTTTCAAGTAAACACTTTTTGGACAATAATTAAAACAAGCCAAGCCAATTTTTAGGATGGTTTATTTTGGAGTCATTTGGCGAACGAAATGACGGACATGGATACGCCGGTTCGCAGAATTTCAACCAAAATTTAACAAACACGACTGTTTCGTTTGGAACGATTTTTCTAATTCTGAGCAGTTTAGGTAGGTAGCTACCTACTGATGAAAAACTGTAAGATAAAATCAAATTTTGATAGAAGTGTGTTTTTTTTTGTTCAGACTTTCTATATAACGTGTGGAACATGTTTTTTTTTCTTCTTCGACCATTCTTATTTCTCCTTTAACCGTTCCTATTTCGTCTTTGATTTTTTTATTTCCCCTTTAACTTCTGCTTGAATGTTCTGGAAAAATCCGGCGATGCTTTCAATATCTTTCTCTCTTTGTAACCATTCGTCCTGTTGTTTTTCCATTCCTGTGTTTCTTGCTCTTGCAAAATTTCCTAGGAGTGCTATTCTTGTCGTTTTTCTCTTGGTCGTCTGTCTTCTTATTTTTGTTTTTCTTTCTGTCGTCTGTCTTCTTCTTCCTGTTTCCCTTGTACTCTTTTCTCGTCCACAAGTTTTAAAAAATCGAGCACATCATTCATTCGATCTTCAATTTCGACGGTCTGCAGTGTCGGCGATATGCATAAGCGGATATAAGCAATGCTTAGGGGCCCGGGCAGCGTAAAGCCAAACCCCTGTGTAGTACAGAGCGCGCCTTCCAGAAGATGCTCTGTATCACTCGGGGCTTTGTTTTTGATTACGCTGGGCCGCGTCGAACATATTCCAGTGCGATACAGAGCAACCTCTAATTTCTTGACTATTGAATAGAATCGCTCATGTACGACTTTTATACCTATCTTCAAGCAATCAGCAAAATGTAAGCAATTATTGTTATGAAAGAAAAAAATTGATATTTATTAGCAGTTCCATTTCTTTATTTCTTTAAACGTGTAAAAATAAGCTTCCAAACGCAAAATTGTATTAATGCAGAATATTCTGTATTTCTTGTTGTATTTATAACCGGATTTTTTGATGCGAGTATTTACATCATTTCCTGTTATCTCTAGGCATTTCATGTCTTGTTTTAAACCACGAACCACTACAATAAATTTTAGAAAACTTTTATCCATTTGCCGTACCTACCTATTATTGACAAAAAAAAAAGTACCTATGATAATTGTCGATGAGAAAGAAATACTTTTTAGAGTCAAACGAGGAGTCAAATATGCGCTCATCGAAAAAATCCGACTATACAGGGTGTTCCGAAATTAATGCACCAAATTTTTATGGCATATTCTACGTCGAAAATAAGCCATAGTTACCTATATAAACATATGTCCGGAAACGCTTCCTTTCCGAGATACAGGGTGTTGAAATTCTAAGAAAAAAACTATTTTTTTATCATAGTTCATACCACTTTGAAATTTTGTACACTGGTTTCAAGCAACCAAAGACATTTTCTGACGTGGAATATTTAATAAAAAAATTACCAGTGACGTCACAAAACTAATTTGAAACTTTAGGTCTTCAATATTTAACATTTTTATCATAATTTTGGCAATTTCGCCATTTTTACTTTAAAACAGAGAATCTTTTGGAAAAAAGTGAAGAGATCAAATTTGTTCTAAATTGAATGGAGATTTGAAAAATGATTTTTATTTTAGAAAAAAGCAGTGGCGCACAATTTTTTTTTTAAAAAATATTCCTCACAAATCTGGTAGCATGCCACTGGTAATTTTTAAAAAAAATAATTTCACACCAAAAAATGTCTTTTGCTGCTTGAAAGCAGTGTACAAAATTCCAATGAAATATCTAGAGTGGTTTGAAAATTATGATAGAAAAATAGTTTTTTTCTTAGAATTTCAACACCCTGTATCTCGGAAAGGAAGCGTTTCCGGACATATGTTTATACAGGTAACTGGGACTTATTTTCGACGTAGAATATGCCATAACAATTTGGTGCATTAATTTCGGAACACCCTGTATAGCAAATCCTCTTCTGCGTGAAACGTGTAAAATAGGCATGCGTGCTCCGTGTCATATTTTCTATGATAAGAACAAGCTTCCAAACGCAAAATTCTATTGAATCAGAATATTCTGTTTTTCTTGTTCAATAAAAATAGAGTTAACAATATTAGTATATTTTTTGTGCAACCGTCCGCGAAATGAGCTTTCGCGGCTGCCACACCTTACGTGCGAAATGTGCCAAATCCTTGTCAAATCCATACAGTTTTTCTGTAACTTAACATAATTTTTATAGTTGCACAAAAAATAGTGTGTATACCATGGCCGCAAAACTTTTTAACGTCTTCGAGATTATCTTGCCTATAGGCCGCAAGCTGCCGAGGCAAGATAACTTTCCTCCACGTACGCTAAAAAGCCATTTCGCGGCCTTGGTATACCAATAACTAATGTGCGACTTTTGCTTCAAAACTACCTGATCAGCAAAATGTAAACAATTGTTAGGTATTTATAAGCAACTCCTTTCCTGCGTAGAACGTGTGGCATGCGTGCTCCGTAACACACTGGGATTTGTCTCATGCGAGTGATTCAGAGCATCTTGTGGACCGCGTGCTCTGTACTACACAGGGGTTTGGCTTTACGCGCCCGGGCACAAAGGGGACCCGAAAGGGCCCCCTTCAAGTACAAATATATATATATTTTTTTAAATGCTTTAATAGTTATTTACATTACAAGTGCGTTTATGAACATGATTACAATAACGAGTGTGAAAGATTAGAACGACGAGGTCGTAGACCGAGTTGTTCTGATCACGCGAGTTTTGTAGTCATGTTTAAACGCACGTGTGATGTACAACGTCTTATCTACAAAGCGAAAAGTAAAAATGTTTTTTCGATTATTATCGTCTATTAGTAGTTGTCTACCTTCATTTTACCTTCACAGGTTCAACTTTGACATTTGTCAAATCACCAAAAATAGTTGTGTTATAGATACAAAACCTAGTCCATAACACCACTAGTTGTGTTATGAATTCATAACCTAGTCCATAACACCACTGGTTGCGTTATGAGTCTCATGACGTAACTGAAATACCAGAAAAATGGTTACCTATGTAAAAACGTCATAACCAAACGCTTGTAGATAAAATAAAATTGAGAAATATAACGACCGATATCGATCAATATACTTAACTGGTAGGTTCCTTCCAGTTGCCACCGCTGAAAGGTCAATTAAAAATATTGAAAAATTACCGTAAAACGGGGATACTTTGTGACAGATTTTGAGGTTTTTTGCAATTCTCAAACAGTTCTTTGCCACATAAAATTCTAAAAAAATACACTATGTATATCCGTTCTTTCGCTACAAAATGGAAATAATAGGAAATTGGAAAAAAATTGATAATTCAGCTTTTTTTTAATTTGAAAGTGTCCCAATTTTACCCCGTGATGCAGGGTAACTTCGTGAAAGTGCGTTTTTACAATGAAAACATACCCCGTCATTTTTGGTCTGAAACGATAGGAAATGTCAAGAACTATTTGCTTGATAATTTTCTGATATTAAAAACACGGGTATATACTGATTTAGACATTTTAAATTTTTATTGTATATCATACGATATAGTATTTATCACCATAGGCGCAACTAGGGGGGTGCTTGGGGGTGCTAAGCACCCCTTAAGCAAAAATTAGCACCCCCATTCGGCATCCCACCATAGCACTACTTACAGTGGCACTACCTAAAACTAATATAAAAAATTAGTGCAACCAAATTATTTATTTTTTTTGCACTTTTTGTACTTACTTACGTCATCGATGACGTCATAATTTAGAAAAAAGTATTTGTCGTTGATTAATTTATAGAGCACATTCGCAATTATTATTGTTATGGAAATTTTTCAACCGGGGCCGGTATTACAATATTACCTTAAAATCAAGACTTACCCTAAAATATACGGTTTTTATGTTATATTTAAGATGACGTCATCGAACAAGGTCAGAAAATGTTGCCAATGTCTATGTTTTTCTATATCTTAAGGTCACATTAAAATATTGACCCTTGCAAAATCATTGGAGTCCCAAATATATAAATTAATTAACTGCGTATTATACAGGGTGTTCCTAAATATTATGTACAAACGGCAAAAGGCGATTCTTTGTTTTTTTTTATGACTGAAATCTCAAATATGTTCTAAAAAATTGACTTATTTAAGCAAAATTAAAAAAAATTCACCCTCTTACATTTTAATTTTTTTCTGGAAAACTTGCAAACGGAAAATTTTGAAAATTTTCCAGGAATAAGAGGAAAATGAGGAGCTCATTTTACGAAAATTTCAAAATTTTCCAGTAAAAAATCACTCCGGGAAAAATTTTAAAAAACTAAACATACCAAAAAAACTTTTTTAAGCAAAATAAAGGAGAATTCACCCTTTTACATTTTAATTTTTTTTAGAAATCTGGCGAAGGGAAAATTGTGAAATTTTTGTAGAAGAAAGAGAAAAGTGAGGAGCTCATTATAGGAATATTTCAAAATTTTCCAGTGGAAAATCACTCCAGGAAAAATTCTGGGAAATTGAGTTTTTTAAGCAAAATTCACCTCTTACATTTTAATTTTTTCCTGGGAAACTAGCAAAAGGAAAATTGTGAAAATTTTCCAGAAAAAAAGAGGAAAATAAAGATCTCATTATAGCAAAATTTTAAAATTTTCGAATGAAAAATCACTCCATAAAAAGTTTTGGAAAATTGATTTATTTTAGCAAAATTAAAAAAAATCACCCTCTTACATTTTAATTTTTTTCTGGAAAATTTGCAAAGGGAAAATTTTGAAAATTTTCCAGGAATAAGAGGAAAATGAGGTGTTCATTTTACGAAAATTTTAAAATTTTCCAATAAAAAATCACTCCAGGAAAAATTTTGAAATACTAACTTTTTTAAGCAAAATTAAGGAGAATTCCCCCTGTTATATTTTAATTTTTTCTAGAAATCTGGCGAAGGACAAATTGTGAAATTTTTCCAGAAGAAAGAGAAAACTGAGGAGCTTATTATAGGAAAATTTCAAAATTTTTCAGTGGAAAATCACTCCAGGAAAAATTGTAGGAAATTGACTTTTTTAGACAAAATTCACCCTCTTACATTTTAATTTTTTTCTGGGAAACTAGCAAAAGGAAAATTGTAAAAATTTTCCAGAAAAAAGAGAAAAATAAAGAGCTCATTATAACCAAATTAAGGAAAATTCACCCTCTTAAATTTTAATCTTTTTCTGGAAAACTGACAGAGGAAAAATTTTGAAAATTTTCCAAGAAAAAGAAGAAAGTGAAGGGCTCATTATAAGAAAATTTCAAAATTTTCCAATCGCTCCAGGAAAAATTCTGAAAAAATGACTTTTTCAAGTAAAATTAAGAAAAACTCATCCTGTCACATTTCAATTTATTTCTGGAAAACTAATAAAGCAAAACTTGTGAAATTTTTTCAGGAGAAAGAAGAAAATGAGGAGCTCATTATAGGAAAATTTCAGAATTTTCTAGTGAAAAATCTCTCCAAGGAAAGTCGAGAGGAAAGTTCTGGAAAATTGACGTTTTTAAGCAAAATTTATCCTTTCACATTTCAATTTTTTTCTGGAAAACTGGCAAACCAAAAATTGTGGAATTTTTCCAGAAGAAAAAGGAAAGTGAGGAACTCAATATAGGAAAATTTCATAATTTTCTAGTGAAAAATGACTCCAGAAAAAATTCTAGAAAATTGAGTTATTTGAAAATTTTCCAGGAATAAGAGGAAAATGAGGAGCTCATTTTATGAAAATTTCACAATATTCCAGTGAAAAATCACTCCAAGAAAAATTCCAAGAAAATTGACTTATTTAGGCCAAATTAAGGAAAATTCACCTTCTTACATTTTAATTTTTTTATGGAAAACTGACAACGGGAAAATTTTGAAATTATTACAGGAGAAAAAGGCAAGTTCATTAGAGGAAAATTTCAAAATTTTCCAGTGAAAAATCACTCCAGGAGAAATGTATTTATATATTTTCGGATAACTGAATAAACTCTATTCTAAGTTAAAAAATGTATTACAAAACAATAATTTCGAAGGTGCTTTATGAATTAATCTATGACCTAACTTTTTCTCTAAGTTATGACGTCATCGATGACGTAAGTGAAAACCTTCGTGCCGTGCAACGAACTATATGTTTGTTTGAAATTTCAGACATAAAAAAACCTATTTTTCAAAAAAAAAAGGCAAATGATGACGTATAAGTACAAACTCTCGTGAAACTAACTTTTTTTACGCGTCTCATTTCCTTTCTATCAAACCCCATAAAAAATTTAAAAAAATGGTGCTGCAGCACCCCTCAAATTTGGAGCCTAGTTGCGCTTATGTTTATCACGCCTCATATTCAGCCAGAAATTGGGATGTGAACTCCACCAATAGAAAATCGTCCACATTAGGAGACATGTCGATCTTTCTAGCGCTGTTTTAGGTTGAGCATAAGTTTCTTCCATACTAATTATATGTCACAAAGTTGAACCGGTAGGTTCCTCTGTTTTGGTTATTGATAAAAAAAAAAGTGTCAAATTAATAAATCGTAAGCGATTTCACGTAGATATCCCGACAAGTACCCAAGCAATTGGAAAGTCTTACGAATTTTTCTGAGGAATGTTCAGATTCTGATGAGAGATGATGAGTAGAAAGTTTTGAGGGTTTCGAAAAAGTTGCAAAAACGAGATGCTCCCTTCGAATCAGGATGCTAGTTACCAAGGGAGCGTACCAGCTTGCCGAGCGGTCTTTGTAGCGGGTGAGGTATGTGCTTCCACCTGCCGGTAGAAGAATTTGGCTTGGCACGCGGAATGTAAAACATATTGGCTTATTTGATTTGAATTTCATAATGTCACAAAGTTTCTCCCTTGTCACAAAGTATCCCCGTTTTACGGTACTTGAGAAATTCTATAGGTTAGCATAGACTGCATGATCTTTCCATTTTGTCTATCACATATAGCACAGCATCCAATATGGATATTCCGTATTTAGTTGCTCCAGAAAAATTATCCAATGGATAAAGAAGCGACAGATAATCAAAATTTGAACTATTACCGGATCTTGATTCTCTGCAAACTTTCCTAGGGCCAATCAAGAGCTGGTTATAGTCAAAATTTGAACTTTTATCAACTCTGGATCGGGACGAGAATTTTTCTAAGGGCTCAAGCCTCAAGAGCCGATAATAACCAAATTTTGAATGATCATTAATATCTCTTAAGTTGATATCGATCAAAATTCATTCTTCCGCATCTTCTAATTGACTCAAGAAAAAATGTCCAATGGATCAAGTGCCACAGATAATCAAAATTTGAACTTTTATCAACTCTGGATTCGCTAGCGAATTTTTCTAAGGGCATTCAAAGCTCAAGTCTCAAGAGCCGATAATAATCAAAATTTCGAATGATCATCAGCAGCTCTTAAGTTGATATTAATCAAAATTTCTTCTTCCGCAGCGTCTAGTTTGCTCAAGAAAAATTATCCAATGGATCAAGAGCCACAGATAATCAAAATTTGAACTATTACTGACTCTTGATTGTCTGGAAAACTTTCCTGGATCCAACCAAGAGCCGGTAATAGTCAAAATTGGAACTTTTATCACTAGCTTTAGAGAATTTTTCTAAGGGCATTCAAAGCTCAAGAGCCGATAATAATCAAAATTTCGAATGATTATTAGACATTAGTGTGGTGGCCAAAAAGACAACAGGGAAGTCTCATGCGCCAATATTGACATAAAAATTTACTCTCCCTGGGCAAAGACAAAAATAGTTTACAGAAAGTTTAGAATGCATGTCTTAGATTCTGTCAAGCTTCATGCTCTTCAGACGCTAAATTGAACGTATTTTTTTGGAATGAGAGCTAATTGGGTTAGTTACTCGTTACTCTATATGTTCTTGAAAACGTTTAATGCAAATATGTTCCCTTTGCAATGCAAAAAATGACGCAAAGCTCAACTTTTCCCAATTATGAAGAATTGAAATGCACGTGATCTAATGCACGAAAGAGGGGTTTCTCTAATAAAACTGCATCATGAAATGTCCACACATTGGACTCACTCCAATTAGTACACCTATCTATTATTTATATATGGCATAAGACAAACTTTACAAAGGTTTAAAAGCTTTTTTGCCTTTTTTTAGACTATTTAATTGAAATGACATATTGATATAAGTATACCCACGGATCGGTAATGCTAAACATGATCACTTATAATTATTAGTTAACTACTGAATGGCGTATAATAATAGCTAACAAAAAACTGTTTACATCAATTTTGTAATAGCTAATTGGACATGAACCATTACTTAAATATCGAACTTTACTCAGTTACTGTAGGTATACGTCTTTTTTTCAGCAAATTATACACGCAATATTGCAGGGACTCGAATAAAATAATCCTGCAATGAGAGTGAACTATTACGAAATTACCGCAGACAAATTTGCTACTTATCTCTCGACCATCTTGATGGTGCTTCGAAGAAGCATGGAAATTTTTGGGTTAGCAAAGAATATGTCAAGGCCTTACTAAAATTATATTCGATAATAACATTTTCAGAAGAATCTACATACTTCGCTGGAGCAAATAAAGTTGCTAATCATGTAGCGGTATCTACAAATGTTTTTTCGCCTTAAGCTTCCTAATTGTTTATGCGATTTTAGACAACGACAATTATTCACGTATAAGGAAATTTCGTTGTTCGTATTTGGAATATTTCAGGAAACTGGTTTCTCTGAATTGGTTGGGTTAAATTTTGACATCATAGTTTTGAAAAGAAAACAAATATACACGTTAATATATAAAAAAAGATCCAATTAAGAGTAGTCGGAATTAACAAAACTCAAGGTAATTAAATAATTATGGACTTTAGATTGAGAAACAAACAAAATAGACATTTGCTTATTTGAAAATGCGTCAAGAGTCCAAGTTTGATCGGTTCTGAATTTAGTTAACTCCAATTGAATGCCGCAATGAAATAAGCCACTAAATTTCTTGAATATTGTCATAATATTATACATGGACCTCCTAGAATGTTTTAAAAAAAATGCTTACACTAATAATATTTTGTTCCCTGGACATTTTCGAAATTCTATTTTACTTTTTAAATTAACTGTCCTTTCGAAACATGTCTTATAGTTGATGTAAATGTAATGAATATTTATGTATCATCTTTATTTTTTGGCTAAAAAATTTTTGGTTATTTCAAAACCTGTTGTGAACATCACTTGAAAGGAGTACATCATACTACTCACATAAATGTTAAACAATATTGGAAAATGTCAACTTACATGACAAGTTATATAAAAATAAATAATACTTACCAAATGGGCTTGTCTAGTCTCATCGATATAATGCGTGGTAATAATAACCGTTTTTCTTCCATGCTTGGTAATTTCCACCAAATGATTCCAGATGTTTTGCCTCAAAAGTGGATCCACTCCTACAGTCGGTTCGTCTAGGATTAACAGTTCTGGATCGTGGACTAAAGCGGCTGCCAGAGAAACTCGACGCTGTTGGCCACCGCTCAGAATTTTTACAGGCCTAGAGAAAAGTGAATGTTGCAAAACATGTATAAACTTCCATGGGACACTTCACATCAATTTTCGAGGCAAATTTCAATCAAGTAACAAGTTATATATGGTCAGGAAAATCGAAAATCATTATCCGCGGAAACATGAGATTGGAAAACTCATAATTTTCATTTATAGGGTAAACGACCTCTGCCTCGTCATTTTCTTATGCCTGATAAAACTATTATTGGGATCTCAGAAATGTTGCCTAATTTTGTTTCGTTCCTACTAAAATATAAAAGTTTCCTGTGGCGAGCTTCCATAACTTATATTTTCTACTTTTTTCCAAAATTTCGAGTTAACAATAATTAGTATTGCGAACTTTGTTATGCAAAAAGCTTATCATTTATTTTATTCTTACTCATCTAATTGGTGCACTTCAACAAGATATGCATATCAACCGGTTTTATGAAATTTAAAACTACTTCCAAGGGCGACCAGCAGGAAAATGGGTACCGAGTACCTAAACCAGAGTTCAATAACTGATGTGCGCAGAAATGCCTTTTGTTCCACGATAATATAACCGTTGGATTTTGCTTAACTGATATTAAATAACCTAAATGGCAAATATTGCTTCTTGAAGTTGGAATAAATGAGATTTTTCTGATATATGTAACAAGTTATAGAGTTTATTGGACTTGACCATTAAAACCTAAATGGCTTTCAATTTTATTTTGATTGAATTGAATGTTTTCTGGGCATTTTACTTTGAAAAGTAATTCCTTTTGGTGTAGTTGGACTCATGTCTCATTAAAAGAGAATAATAAATCAGCTCCAATCCTATTTGGGACCAATTTGATTCTTACCTGTCTGCATCCGGCAGCATCAACAAATTAATTAAAAACTCCACTTTGGACTCTACTTGTGATGAAGTCATATCGGATATCCAGCCAAAATAAGTAAGAGTTTCTCTAATGGTGAATTCTCCATAAAGAGCAATTTCCTAAAAATAGCAAAAAAGTTTTCAATCATGAATAATGCATTAATTGACATAAAAAAAAATACGCTGTTCTATTCATTGACAATGGAAAATTAAAGAGTCCATTCGGTTAATAAGCTATACATTCTAATTGACCTGTAATTTCACTATAATGTTCTCGAACAAAAACGGAAACTTAATTATGTTAATTATCATTGTCAAGTTAATTCTATTAATTTGTTAATGGTTTTCAATAAATTACCTGAGGCATATAACCAATTCTAGGACCAGGAACTCCGCTGCCTCTGGATCCAGGTGTACCACCCAGCACCCATATTTCTCCTGAATTGAGCCTTTTTCTACCCACTATACAATTGAGTAAAGTGGTTTTTCCACAACCACTGGCACCTAATAGACCATATCTATAATGAAGAAATTAATTACAGATATATTAATAGAAAATATTTATTCGAATCACTTACATACAGCCCTTAGGTACTGTCATGTTGAGACCATCCAAAATAACATTTGGATGATCCTTGGTGCCATATCGTTTGTAAGCGCGTCGAACGCATACAGCTTGCTGTCTTCTAGTTTGTACTGTAGATTGTTGAGCTTTGAAATTTCTTCGACGTAGCTCCAGTTCTGTCGGACCTTCTGTCATTGCAGATCTGTAAGAGAAACATAAAAAACAATAATTAATTTGCCATAATATACATCTAGAACCAGTAGTTGGTAAACGTGAAATTCAATTACTTAATTTTTTTGGCTAATTGCTTTTTAAAATATTACCATTAATTTGGTGTTGTTAATATTATTGAAAGCCTGCCTACTTAAAATACCACAGACATGAATGTCAATATAGTAATAGTTTTTAGTTAATGGTCGCTAAATTAAATTGTCATTAACATGTTTTTGCAAAAGGACAAGTTATTGGAAAACCATAAAATATACATCTTTATTTTCTCTGATGTAGCATTAGAACAGAAAATAACTCTGACTAACTACAAATGCGTTAATTGACACCTTTTAGATAACATTATTACTTTGTATGTCGTAGGTAAGTACGAGTTTATTTTTGGGAAAGTACCTATATTAGGTACCAGATAAATAGGTAATCTTTTTTTTTATAACATCCTGGGACATTATAACGAAACGAACACCATCAGTTTGTTCTCAGGAATCTCATCTCTTTGGAAAATCGTCATCAGCGTTCTTATTTTGAAAAGGTAAAATTACAATTTTTAAAATCCCCATTCATATTTGTAAAGCGTCTGGATCAGCAATGGTATCCCATCAATCTCCTTGTTCCCGGATTTTCTTTCTCCGCTCGCCGAACTTTCCTTTCCTCCAGTTTGTCGGCGATCTAGTGTCGATTTCCTGTTAGTTCAAAAATGGTCACTAGGTATCTTCTAATTGATCACTTCTAAGCTGTTCGGAGGAGGAATTCTGCAACGGATAGAGATCGTTATCCCTATCGCTATGGCACTTGCTGTCTTCTTCTCTATTTTCGGAATCAATAGAGAGGGGACGTCAAGAGAGCGAAAATATCTATATTCGTTACCAGAATCCCAGCCGAGACCTCTAATGTTGTATTCCCTTATACTTGTACATTTCTGATGATGCTGCAGTAAACGCGGAATCAGACTGTCACGTCACGTGAGATCACGTGCGCTCACGTGCTATCGCGTAACAGGCATAAAGTGTGGAACGCTGTTTGACATAGTATGTAATACATCAGAACCACACTGAAGTTCTCTCATGCGTATTACGTTACATCGCCAACCTTACGCGTGCTAGCATGTACTCATTTTCTGCAAATCCACACTTGCGCCTGCGTGAGCTCTCGTTTATGCGGTTTGGTTGAACTTGTGATGTTTCAAAATGGATGGGATTTTTCCTTTAATTCCTATCCAAACAATAAAATTCGGCCAATTATTTTTTTTATTTTCAACCATATATGAAATGTTGTCATTACTGACTTTTCAAAAATTTGAAAATGTCACATTTCTATCTTTTCATTTTCCTGGTCCATTATCTGTCCCAGGACAGGAAATGAGGACGGGAAATTTTGTCCGTCCTCATTTCCCGTCCACGGACGGAAAATGGAGCAGGGATATATTTCCCGTCCTCATTCCCCGACCTCATTTATTTGGTTGTCACGAATTTATTTCTTTTTTTTCAAGAAATTATTGTTAAAAATAAAATAGTATACAAACCTCGACGGGAAACTCCATTGCTGTCTCGAGGTTCAGTTCATCTCGACAGTCGACGCTACGCGTCTCGATAAACTATATAACCTCTCGATCAGCAATGAAGCATTTCCCGTTTCGGATTGTAATATACTATTCCTGTCACGGATCCATGCTTTGTTATATTTTTTTTATTTTCCTCTTCAAGAATGATAAAAGCAGCTACAGTTTCTATTTCCTCCTACCAGTCTGCGAAGAAATGATTGAGGCACTTTCGATCATTGAAAATTCACGAAAAACAAGCAAACAATACAGAAATCAAAGAAAACCTGTCCGAATGTATTGTTCGTAGTTTTAAATCTGACACTTTCCGTATGAGGAAGAAACATATGGCAGAAACAGGTCACCATCGGCGTTCTAACGTAGGGGGGCCACCAGCTCACATTCCTTTGGAGTATCAGATTAAAATCGACGGACTGTACATATCAATTTGCGTACTACATCATAAAACGTGATAGTAGTGTGTTTCTAAGAATGCTATCAAGGTTAAATCATGCTAACGTGATAGCACATGAGCTCACGTGACGTCAGCTCAGTCTGTTTCCGCCTAATGGTATTGCTCTCGGTATTGCTTCAATGACTCTAGGTTAGCCCCGGAAGGTCTGTTCTCACAAAAGTCTCTGTGTCGAATTCTTTCCAAAAGTCTGCAAAATCAGCACTTGTGATGAGTAAATTCCGTTGTTTTTTCAAATAAAGTTTTCAGATTACGGTTCATTAAATAATTCATTCTCCCTGAAATATAAAATATTCCTGAAGCAAGTCCTGTTCTTCTCGGACCTCCTGTTTTTAGAAGATTTCAAGCGCGTTTGACAGGTCGATAAGACTTGACAGATAAATAATGAAATAAACGTCATTTATCAACCAATGGCTCTTGAATCACGTGCAATGCAATACTCATCTGTCAAAGTTACCAACTGGTCAGTCGCTTGAAAACCCCCCAATTTTCAAGCGTTTCACCGGTCGGTGCTTGACAGATAAGCAATGAAGTAAACGTCATTTTTCGACCAATGGGTCAATGCTCATCTGTCAAAGTTGCCGACTGGTCGATCGCTAGAAAACCCCCCTTGCCTTTCTTTCTGTCTTTGGTCTTCCTCTTCTTGTTTTTATTTCTGTCTTTGGCCTTCCTTTTCTTGTTTTTTTTTTCTGTCTTCCTGTTTTTTGTATAATTCTCAAATGCAACAAGATGGAATGTTCTCATCAATATCTCTTTTAAAAATCCCGAGTTTCATCTTTCATAATCTCACCAGGAAAGTACCTACCTATTACTAGGTATGTTAAGCCTTTTTTTTCCGGTGGTAAAAAGTAATATATGTTACCTATACATAAGACTTTGCCTATACGATATTCACCTTTTTATAAAAATGGTCGCATAAGGACCTTCTGCATATCCCATCGCGAAAATTACTTTACACGTAAGTTATGCATCAAGATAGAAGCTAGGTACATCACGTGCGAAAAAGATTTACTTTTTACATGTAGGTAGAAAGTAGTCTGTCACTGCAAAACATATATGGCACGTGATTTATCGTGCATAATGGCTCATCTACATAAGAAAATAATTGGCGGGTTGGTTGAGAAATTCTTGCACCACTAACCTTGTTGACGCCTTTCAGTTCTCATTTAAAATTAATTTCAAAGACCTGTTTCTAATTGTTGTCATTATAACAACAGTTTAAAATTATTACCAAATTGACCAAATTACGTTTATTATTGATGCTTGTATTATATCATCAGTCAGAGACGGTTATATTATTATTAGCATTGAACTTCTGGTGGTTATTGAAAAAAAATCATTAACAATAAGTTAAATTTGCATAGTTAAGGTGACAGCTTTTTTATCTGTTGTTTATTATTTACTTCGTAATAAATCAACAGAGGTGTCATTAAAAAAATTGAATGATTTATACCTTGTTTAATAATAAAAATTATGCGGATGGCAATTGGTGAATGGAATTAATGGTGCATAAAAATAAAAGGAGAAGTGCATATCACCATGTACCTATAGTTAACGACATACTGAATATTGTTAAAACGCCAGCGCCCCTGTAGAGATTTGCAGAAAACTAATTCAGCCATTAACCAAGGAATTGTAGATGTATCTTTGTTATTTCTAACGCTCTCCAAGCTAGATTTAGAGGTACCCAGTCGTAGACTCTTTGTAGATCTACATACAGCAGATCTAATTCTTGTTCACATCGTATCAATATCAACTTTGTTCCATAATCTTTCTCCATCGAATCACATATTGTTTCACGTTGAGCAGTGACATCCTGTATTTTCAATTTCGTTTTATGCCTTGCCAAAACCAGTCATATTTGCTGACGATTCTTAACCCGTAACTATGATGTTCAAGGGTCAGGAAATCCTGGATCCTTTGATTTTTGAATGGTTCTATAAGTGCTCAGTTTTTCACAAAGGCGAAAATAACCCGCAACTAACTTACCTTCTCAACAACAGGCGAAGTCGCCAAAGTTTAAAACCGAAAGGAGCTCTTGGCCTAACGTATAACCATTAGTAAGTATTTCCAAAGTTTAGTATTTCGAACATGAGAACTTCATTCCAGAAGTCCCAAAGACATAATTCCTAAGCTAAATAATTAGAGCTTAGTGTGACCCAAACTGGAATATGTCAACTGCATCTGAAACCTATTAGGAGGTTGAAAAATTTTCCATAGACAATAAATAAATTGTATTAAAATTATCTTGTTGCTGAACTTTCACAAAAATCTAATAATGTTTAACATAAATAAATCGTATGTCATCATTTTCGGGAAATTAAAATGTCGCATCACACATTCCAAGTATGTATCAATTAAAACGGAAAAAGTAAAAGTGTAAAACTCATCTTTCGTATGTTTTAAACTGAAATTTATTTTTAATAAATCAACTAACCTTGATCTACAATACTGTAACACTAATGATTTTAATTGTGTAACAACAACGCATTATGTAATGAGCAATCATACCATACGATATGCCCAAGAAGAGATGAAATGCATGGGTTGTTTTAGAAACCGTATTTTCGGATACGTGCGATATTGCGATATATCGGTCGCGGTTTTGTAAATTCTTCTTTCTTTATTATTTGATAATTGATATTCCTCGAAATTCTAAGTGTATTTGAGTATTTCATTATTGGCTTATATAATTTCTTAGTGAAGGTTGACCCTTAAGAAAAAATTGTTACTAAAATAGCATCCTGCATTATTTGGGATAAGACGAGCCAATCCAGCCTCAAAGTCGAAATAAGAAAGTTATCAAATTCTAGCGAAGTTAAAGGGCAAACGATTTGGCTTTTTATTTCGAATTGTTTGAATTCTGCAACCCCTATTCTTTCAAAATCTACAAAAGGCGATTTACAACAACTACATGTGTTCACGGGGTCCTTACCCTTGTAAAACCTTTACATCTTGACCGGTT